CATCTCATATGGTATGGTCACCACGCTTTTGATATTGGGGGTAGTGCGGCTGATGCGTACCTTCACTTGTCAATGGCAGCTAATCGTATTCCCACAAACTCCACGCGTCTCACTGTTACTGAGCTCGTTCTTTGCAAGATAATTTCAACCTGTCGAGTAGAGTTTGACGCTGGACACGACACTGCCAATGAAATTTTTTGTTTTCACTGAATCTACTAATTAGCTACTCCGGTCATTTTTTGTCAAAGATGAATTATACAGCAACTTCGAAGATCTCTCCAGTCTTGAGGTAACCGCTCTTGTCATCTTTTACCAGCTGTTATCACTTTCTGTTTTGCGCAGAGAAAAGTTCTCCTGCGTCCCATCATATCATACCCAGAAGGCAAAGCTTCCCCTGCTGGGGCTGCACGTTATGAATTTCGTTGCAAATAGTCACCAGCATAGACGGACACACATTCACACAGACATATTAGCGAATTATATACCGTAGGGCAAGCAAAAGTGCATCTTCCCGTGCCGTGTAGAAAACATCGAAATTCATGCACTAATTCAAAGTAAAGGGTACAGGAACAGAAACAAATACGTCAACAAGAATCAAAGAATTTTGTAATTCACACTATCGGGATTTTTCCACAGACATTAATAACCTAGTCTTTCAACAGTTCACTTTCCACACGGCCTCCAGGTAATTGTTTTGTAGCTTGTGAGGTGACTGAGCCGCAGAAATAAATTGTGATTGTGATGCCGAGATTTTTAAGCTGTGCAGCATGTCTGCTCCAATTTCTTATCTGCGGAGAGCTCCTCTTGCAAGAAAGGCAGCCACGACGCGCGTCCCGGAGGGAGAATCATATTCAGTCATGGGGTTGATGTTTTTAAATGGAACTGTTCAAGGAAATTGTTCTCACCAACAAGTATTGTGAAGACGCTCAAATATCAATCAACAATAATAAGGATTGCTAACTATGCATCGTCCAATCGTTATACTAGCCATGTTTTCTTTCAGGTCGTTGACATTGGTCACTTTAGAATATTTGTCACAGAATTCTGCGATGGTGGAGACTTGCTACAGAAAATTAAACGAATGAAGCGAGTTCCAGAGCCAGAAGCCAAATTTCTCTTTCGTCAACTCATCGAGGCACTCATTGTCAGTATGCATGGCCTAATTTTTGCCTTTTAAACATGCAAGCGAGGGTACCGTACCGTTAAAGGCAAGAATCAGGATTGGATTGATGGGTGATTCCACTCAAATGTGAAAGTAGGGATGGGAGGTGGACCGCCAGTGGAGAAAAAAGGAAAGAAAATCCTGAAATACACAGGAAATACGAGCATTTTGCTCTATGCTGTGGAGAAGTTCAAAAGACAGGCAGGGAGATGAGAGATAATGTGAGCGCGGAGAGCGGTAGAGAAGTCCGAGAAGAGAGCATAGCAGATCAACGTGGCGACGCAGACAAGATATCGAACGGTGGGCGGAACCATTTTAGTTTGGTGGAGTTATTCATGGCGCCTAGGTTCTAGTGTCCCGATGTAGAAAGGTGGCGCTACCTTTGCACTTGCGTACCCAGCACTTCTAGCCATGGTAAGGGCTTCTTAGGTGGGTCTGAGCCCAAACTTTGCCTTTAAGGTAGTGGTAGTGTCATGCCAAGTCGGTTTAAAATAGTAATGACTATCTAACAGTACATAGCCAACC